TTCCTTCACGTTGCGTGGGGGCTCCATGTTGATGATGGCCTGGATCTTCTCGGGATTGGCCTCAATACCCCTTCGGCTCACCATGTAGCCCAAGAATTTGCCTCCTTGGACGCCAAAGGTGCACTTCTTCGGGTTTAGCCGAAGGTTGAATTTTTGCATGATGGCGAAGATTTCTCGGAGGTCGTCAGCATGGCTGGAAGATTGTTTGCTTTTGACGATCATGTCGTCAACATAGGCCTCCATGGTGCGCCCTAGGACGGCTTGAAAGACCCGGGCCACCATCCGGGTGTAGGTGGCCCCTGAGTTCTTTAGGCCGAAGGCCATGACTAGGTAGCAGAAGATGCCCTCGGGAGTCATGAAGGCAGTTTTTTCGGCGTCTTCCTCGTGCATAAAAATTTGGTGATACCCTCGGAAGGCATCGAGGAAGGACATGATCTCACACCATGCGGTCTCATCCACTAGTTGATCAATATTTGGTAGAGGGAACGGGTCCATAGGGCACGCCTTGTTGAGATCGGTGTAGTCCACGCACATGCGGAAGGTAGGGGGCTTCTGTGCGAGGACTACATTCGCCAGCCATGAGGGATATTTCACCTCCTTGATGTGCTTAATGGAGAGGAGCATGGCGACCTCCTTCTTCACAAATTCCCTCCTCTCGGCGGAGAGGGGTCTTCTTCGTTGTTGTACTGCCTTTGCCGAAGGGTCCACCGAGAGGCGGTGGGTGATGACCCTTCGGCTAATTCCCGGCATGTCCTCCGGCCCCCATGCAAAGACAGTGGAGTAGGCGCGGAGGGCGTCGGTGATACCGGTCTTCAAATCTTCAGGGAGCTGGGCTCCAATCTTCACGACTCTCTCCGGCTGGGCCGGATCGAGCGCGAAGTCTTCTACGTCCTCGGCTGGTTCAGCCCTCGGCCTTTTCTCTTCTTGGTCGATGGTTCCGGTGATGGTGTCAACACGGAATTCCGTCTTGCTTACCTTCTTGGTGACCTGAAGATAGCAGGCGCGGGCAATTTTCTGGTTCCCCCGGGAGTAGCCAATGCCCCCCTCGGCGGGAAACTTGAGGCAGAGGTGCCTCATGGAGATGATGGCTTCGAGGTCCTCGAGGGCTGGCCGGCCGAGGATGATGTTGTGGGCGCAGTCAATGTTGACGACGACGAACTCCACCTCGAGCTGGGCTCTATGGAGCCCGTCGCCGAAGATCACCGGGAGGGTTATTACCCCCTCGGAATCAATAGTGTCGTCGGTGAAGCCGGCAAGAGGGGTCTTATGGGCCGAAGGGACCCCCTCTCAAGATGCAGCTCTCTGAAGGTGCTGAGGTACATTACATTGACGGAGCTGCCCGTGTCAATGTAAGTTCGGTGAATGATGGTGTCGCTTATCTCCGTCCGAATTACCAAGGCATCCCTGTGAGGAGAAGAAGTAGGGGGGAGATCTGCGTTGGTGAAGGTGATGGGTTCCTCCCTCAGTCGCTTTACCGGGGGCATATGAGTGACTTCCCCTACGTAAAGTGATTGAGCCCACTTCTTTCGCTGGCTGGTGGAATCGCCCCCTGTATTGCCACCGGTGATCATGAGGATGTGGCGTTTCTTCTCCTGGTAGTGGGGGTACTCCTCTTCCTCTTCTTCCAAGTTTCCGATCTCCCTCTTCTTGCCGAGGGGGATGGTGTTCGGATTTACCCAGGCATTTACCTTCGTATGGTGCCCTCGGGGAGGTCCCTGATGAGAAGGTCCCTCCTGCCGAGGGCTCTGGACAAATTGGGACAGGTGCCCCGCCTGTATTAATCTCTCGATGGCCGTCTTCAGCTGATGGCAGTCATCGGTCTTGTGCCCCTGGTGCCGATGGAAGCGACAGTAGGGGAACTGAGGGTTGATAGCGTGTACCTCCGGGGGTGCGCGAGAGTCGCGCTCAACGAGGCCCCTCTCCTCGGCAAAATCGAGGATGATGCTGACGGGGTGCGTCAATGGTGTCCGAGGGCGGTCCAGGAGAATGGGCTGGGCCCAAGTCTTAGGGTTGCTCTTATAACCTCCCCCGGGCTTGGCTTGGCCTTGCCGAGGGCGTTCATCAGAGGGTCCCGAAGTCTTGGGGTGATTTGGAGGAGCCCCCGGCCCTCGGTTATGCTTGTTGTCAGCCCTCGGGGGCTGCTGGTCCGGATGCTGGTGATACTTCTCCACCTCCTCGGCCTCAGCATATCGATCCCCCCGCTGCAAAGCCCTTATGTAGTCGCGGGGGGGTTCAATGATGAGGCTCCTTGAAAAGTTGCCGGTGCGGAGGACGGTTTGTAGGAGGGCCAGGAGGGTCCCGTCATTAGCACCGTCGACCTTGTCGGCCTCCGTCCTCCAGCGCTCTAGGAAGTCCCGAAGGGTCTCATCCCTCTTCTGGCGTATTGTTAGGAGGTGGGAGAAGTGCTTCCTTGTGCGACGCCTCCCGGCAAATTGTGTCAAGAATCGCTGGGCGAGTTCTTGCCATGAATCAATACAGCCCTCGGGCAGCCTGTTGAACCATTCGTATGCCGGCCCCTCTAAGGTGGAGAGGAACCAACGACACAAATATTCATCCGACGCCCCTACCATCATCATGCTGTTCTGGTACTTGCTGTAATGTTCCTGGGGGTCCGTTTTTCCGTTGTAGGGCTGTATATGTTGCCCTCGGTATTTTTCCGGGATCCGGGCCGCCAATACCCTTGGGGTAAATGGCGTCCGAGTCCGGAGCTGGATGACGGGTTCCCCGGAGCCCTCGGCCACCTTCTTCTGTAATTCCTCCATTTTGGCCATGATGGCCTCGTATTTGAGATCCGAATGAGGGGTGGAGGTGGTGGCGTGAGCTTTGTTGGACTCCATCTCGTCAAGCCGGCGTTGGAGGGCCGCAATAATCTCGTCCCGGGGATCCTTCGGGAGGGTCTCCGCCCCCTGCGAACGAACCCGGGCCGAGTGGGCCTGGTTGATTTGGTGCCGAGCATCATCGGCATGAAGGGGTGCCTTGCCTTTGTCCCGAGGGGGACGCTCCTCGTCTGCCCTCGAAACATATCCTCCGCTTTCCTGGGGCCTTTGGAGTGCTTTCCCCCCGAGGCGGTCTTGGACCCCTCGGCGGCCTGGCCCTCCTCTGAGCCGGTTGAGGGCGGAAGTACGGGGCCTTTCCCTGTTGTCATTATGGCGGTCCCGGGACTGAACTTCCTGGGAGGACGTATCTTGGGCCACCACCCCTTCGTCGTTTCTCACCCGAGGGGTGGGATTTCCGAAGGGGTGTGGCAGAGGGGGAAGTATGATATTTTCCCCGATCTGAGGGTGAGCTGGAGCCAGGGTGCCGAAGGCACCCGGGTTCTGGGTGAGCGTCTGGATGAAGGCGGAGAGCGCCGATTGCACGTCGATGGTGAGAACCGGAGGGCTGACTTGGTCATCGCTCCGGTTTTTCTTCTTGGCCTCGATGCCGAGGCGGGCATCGGGGGCATTTTGTTGGATCTGAAGGCGTAGGTCGACAGCCGCCTGTTCCAGCCCAACGATGACACCGCCCTCGGGAGCCCTGTGAGAGGCTTCGGGGGCGTTGACGTCGTCGAGGGCCAGGTTCTTGTCTTCTACGTTCTTTGAGTTGGCACGTGTTGTCCTCACCATTTTGATAGAGGGCTAGTGTTTTGTGTTTGGTCGAGGGGGAGGGTCTCTTACTTGATTGTTCGACCTCTCAACGAGAGCACCAAATGATGGATAGTCTACCCGGGGGTATATATCCGAAGGGTTATTACGGGGAATAACTTAGAGAGAAGTCAGAGCAAGTAAGTAAAAGTAGAGAGAGAGTGTATTCAGTATGAATGCCGTTTTCAGCGTGGTTACAAATGAGGAAATGGGGTGCTATTTATAGTAGCAATAAATGCCGGGCAGGGACACGTGTCAAGCGCTCATTGGCCGAGGGGTCACCTCAACTGGTTGGCGCTGACAGCCGCATGTGGCCGCATTTAATGCGGCTGTTGGACGGGACGTCTGTGCGGGGTACGGTGATCTGTACGCATGTGAGGCGGATATCTTGTCGAGTGAGATGCCTTCGGCTATAGAGCAGTAGCCGAGGGCTCTTCCACCCGATGGCACCCTGGTGCCGAGGGCTCACAGTGCCGAGGGCTACTGTTTTCGCCGTTTTCTCCCAGTTTCTTAATTTGTTTGAGAAACCCGTTCCGTGAGGATTTAGAGCCTCCGGCCAGGGGGCCGAAGGCACCCCTGGCGCGTAGTGCGGGCTGCTTGATACTCTGGGCGCTGTGATTTGGGCCTGCTGGGCCTTCTGGGCCTGTTGGGCCTTCGCTGGAGTAGTAGGAGTCTGTGGCCGGGGGTTCCCGGGCCATATACTCCATCATTGGTATTAAACAAACTTAGTGGGACAGATAAAAAAGGAAGGATGCAACAATTTTAGCTAGACAGAGGGAGACTACCTTCCATTTTTTAGTTGCAATATGTTAAATTTCACATTACTCGCATGTTTTACTTTGACTATATTTTATTTATATATTTGTGAGATTTAAAAAAAGTTGTTCAATTTATTTCATTATAAATTTTCCCACCCTAATGTTTAAATCTTGAATAATATAGAATAAAATTTATTGATAGTCAAATATGTGTGTCGATGAATGTACAAAGTGGACCGTTACAACTAAAAATATTTTTGGGAGTGAGGGAATACGGTTGTGTCACTATTGACTTACGAAGTACTTTCATCCTGCATTGAATTTTATTAAATCCCTTGATTTATTCATTTAACTGTCAAAAGATTTTGCAAATTACATTTACAATAAAAAATTGTAATTAAATGTATTTCTCTCTCCTCCAAAAATATTAATTACATGATTTTACTTTACTTTATATCTCTATATTATTTTATGTGAAAATTAAATTTTACCCAAGCTTATGGAGGCAAATTAAAGTAGTGTAATAAAAGAATAAATGTCAAAAATGCCTTCTGCATGTATGTATAAACTATAAATACAAGTTAGAATCGCGATAGCTTAAGTGGTTGAATGGCGAGAAAATTGGATGAATGACCGAGGTTCAAAAGCTCGAAACTTGGGTAGATGTGTGAGCGCGTGAGAACCCTTGAGGTTGATAATTCAAACGTTTTGGAATATAAATATAGGTTAAATCAATCTCTCTTTTCGCCATCACCTTTACAAATAAATAAAGGTAGCCGAAGCATAGAAAGAAAAGAAAGACACAAAAAGGAAGAAGGGAAAATGGCCAAAGCAAAAGTCTTCTTCTTCATCATCTTGGTGGCTGTAGCTTTCTTAGATCTGCTTTGTTTATCAATAGTAAGAAGCGATGCCGCAGGTTCATCCGTTAAGTTTCTTCCGGGATTCGACGGCCCTCTGCCGTTCCAACTTGAAACCGGGTCTGCTCTCTTCCCATATCATCCTCTTTTTCCCAATTATCTGATATCCTTCTTATTTCTATGTATATACTTCCTTTGTATTTTAATGTTCACTACGTTAGATTGAATATATTATTTAAGGAGTAAACTAGTAGCGATAGTAAATAATGTAGAAAAACTAGGAGAGTGTATAAAAGAATGAAAGAGAAATAAAAAATAGATAAAGTAAGGGTAGTTGAATATTTTATAAATGGTAAACTTATCAAAAATGAAAATGTATGAAATTTCTAAATACAAACCAAAAAGGAAAGTATAGGGAACTTTTAAATAAGAATAGAATGAATTATGAAACTTCTTCATCACAGTAAGCGCTTAGTTGGTAAAAAAAAGTAAGGAGTACTATTTCCATCTCTCACACACATGAAGAAGTCGTGTGGTTATTAAGAATAACGGATTTATGTACGGAGTATTTGTTATAGAATTGATTAAGTAAAAATGATTTAATACTATTCAAATTTCACCAAATTTGATTTGAGACAATCTTAATAGGACATAAGAAGTTTTTTTTGAATATAAAGAATCAGCTTTTTATATTAAAATTGAGACAAAATAGATGATAACATCCGGACAGTTATGACAGATTCGATTGTGAGTCATGGAAATAGACATAGAATCAGTAACCTCATACAAAGCAATCCGATTCGCTAAACACGAAACGAACAATTTAAAGTCCCAAACAATCGGGACTGAAATATTGTCTACCAAACGTACTCCGGAATTCCAAATTTTCAAACCAAACCTACTCAAACTAAAATAAAAAAAAGTATTACTAATGAAAAAGTAAAATTGAAATAAAGTCTTTACACTTACATGATTAGCTAGACACGATACTACAATAACTTGTAATGATATTTTTATAAATAAAGTTTATTTCAGAAATAATTTTGAAAAGTCTAAATATATTTATGTTACAAATTTCAATAAGTGATGTACTAGAATATTTATTCAAGACAAATAATATAACGATTCTGTAATTTAAAACTTCGCAAAAACTATGATTAAGGTCATACATGAAAGAGTTGGCAAATTATTATGTTGACTCTAAATTCAAATAAGATAATTTGTAACATAAAAAACTAGATAGTCATTCTTTCATGCGAGAAAACTATCCAGTACCTACACATGTAATATTTGATGAATTTATTATTGTAGTATTACTTTATTATTTAGCTATATCAAAAATTGTTATCAATAAATTCCTTGAGATAATTTTTAACATAAAAAACTAGATAGTCATTCTTTTCGTGTGAGAAAACTATCTAGCACCAACTATGAGAAAAATATACAATAGTAGTATTTTAAAGAGTAAATTCTCTAAATAGGAGTACAAAAATTTTGAAATTCCAAAATATGAGTATCATGTTTTTATTTCCTAAATAGGAGTAAATTTCTGTCAACTTTGGCAATACTAGGCTTTTAAACATGACGTTTTTTTTCAAACTTGGCAGATTACTCATATTTAAGGAATAAAAAACATGATACTCCTATTTTGGAATTTCAAAACGTTTTTACTCATATTTAGGACAATTTCTATATTTTAAATGGAACATGACGTTAGATAATACCTGAACTAATGAACTATCACCTATTATTAATGGTAAAACAAACTATAGAAATAATTAATTCATTCCCAACTATTCAACTATATGTACAAAGTCATGTGTGTAGGAGATCAAATACAAACAAAATTCCGGAAATTAGTGACGGAATTCTATGGCTGAAAATGGTCAGCCGCTATTTAATTAGTGTCGATAATTAGACGGGGATTAATATCCGCCGGTGTTTAATGGCGAACGATTTCACCACTAAATTTCGTCAGTGTACAACGGGAAATTATTTTGTGCATGTACGGTGGTATTTTGGTATAAAAACCAAAAAGTTGGCTCAAATAATTGTAAAAATTTACAATCATATTATGAATTCTTGTTGTGGTTTGAGCTTTTTACTTTTCAACCAGACAGAATAATCATTTTAGTGATTTTACTATCTTCCAAGAAGGCAAGAATGAGACGTCTCTTATTTTCAACCACACACACACATTATAATTTACGGAGTACCGCCTCCGTCCCATAATTTACTTCCGTAGTACAAATGACACACAAATTAAGAAATTACGTTTTATGTGGTGGAGAGTTGTGCAAAGTAGAGAGAAATGTGTAAGAATTGTTGTGAACCACAAACTCTTTACCAAAAAGGGAAATGGATGTTCTTTTTTGGACGGACGAAAAGGGAAAGTTGGAAGTATTTTCAAAGGAGTCAGTATAAATTTATGAAGAAAACTAATAGTTTTCACACACTATCTTAGACATGTATGTGAACCGTCATTTTTTGTATGTGAATGACTTGTCCACCGACAATGCATGTTTTGTCTACAATTAAATTTTTTGTTTTCAAATTTCCGTGTCTAGCGTAAACAACTTATTTTCATTCCGCTGACTTTAATTGCTTTCTAAGCAAATGTATAAGAAAATGATTATTTCACGGGTTAGCAAGCGTTTTTTGGAAGAAGTATTTTTTATTAAAATAATAGCGTTTTGGAAGCGTTTTTGGAATGTTTTATTAACTTGTTATGCTGGTTTAGTAAGACATGCTTAGTAACATATGATTCATTTATTAAAATAGCACAATAGTTCTATTTTAAAATGCCAATTATAACTCTTCAGAACATTGCCCCTTTACTCGCAGGGGTTGAGATATGTACTCCCTCCGTCTCATAATTAACTTCGGTTTTGACTGGACACGGGGATTAAGATAGTGTGACTTGTGTGGTGGGGAGTTGTGCAGAGGAGAGAGAAATGTATAAGAATAATTGTAAACCACATATTATTTATCAAAAAAGAAAAGAAGAGATAAATTTGGGACGGACCAAAAAGAAAATAATGAAGATAATTTCGGGACGGAGAGAGTATGTAGTACGGAGATGTGGTAGGGGCCGAGGTGGGGATTGGGTAGACTCGGGTAAGTGTTATGAATGTGCCCATGTTTAAAATGCCAATGTAGTACGGAGATGTGGTTGAGATATGTAACCTTTTTTTAGGCAAGTGTTATGAATGTGCGGTGAGGGTAGACTTAGGTAGGTGTCATGGGGTTATTGGGTGGGAAAACAGTGCTCCACTGACTTTCATAAAAAAGGATGACACCCCATCCCTGAGGGCCACCCAATCCCAACCGAACGGTACGTTAGGAGGATGTAAATTGGACTATAATCCCAATCTGACAGATAGAGAGTGGAGCTCTGTCTCCGGTACTTGCAGAGGCCTTATGCATTTTTAGCATAGTAACCCCTCATCGCAGTTACCGGGATTCGAACCCGGGACCTAACCCTTGTGGCACTCCCTTGCTACCAGTTGAACTACGCTCACCGATTCCACTGACTCTCATTGTGAGATGCATTGAGGAGTCTATTTATCCATCCGTGGGGGTCCCTCCACATCGATCGGACAATTAGATGAGAGGATGTATATTTGACTTTAATCACAAGATGACAGATAGAGAGTGAGTCCTGCAGAGGCCCTATACATTTTAGCATAGTAACCTCTCATCGCAATTGACGGGATTCGTGTTACTTACTAAAACATGGAGGCAGAGTGCTTAATTCCTAAACAACACTATAACTCTATAAGGTACGTACTAGTATAAAAGTGTTTACAAACAGAGACTTATCTAAACAGTGAAATCAACCAATGTAAAGATATTCTAATATTCCTTAATCATGCAATATTATAAATTATACTCCCTAATTTATTTTTCTCTTCAACTTGTCGTTTTCCTAAAGAACAAATTTTGATCAGGTATATTGGTGTGGGAGAGTCTGAAGACGTACAACTCTTTTACTATTTCGTCAAGTCAGAGTCCGACCCTAAATTCGACCCTCTCTTTCTTTGGCTCAACGGGGGACCTGGTTGCTCCGCCCTTTCTGGCCTAATCTATGAGATCGGTAACCTCTTCATTCAACGAGTACCTTGTCATTTTTTATTTTTTAATTATTTTTAAAAAATTGTCATTTTCACTTTTAATCAATTGATTCGTGGTTCCTGAAGGAACTAGGTCACTGAACTCGTACAAAGAATATTTTTGAGTAAATTTCTACAAAAAACTCTTTACCTCAAAAATTAAATCATTTTTTAACTTTGGGTGGCCTGGTTAGGACCTAGTTGACCTCCCTTAGATCCACCCATGGTTTTCAATTATTTATGTCTCTTCTGCACAAACTTTAAACACGTAGTTTTGTTTTGTTACTTCCGGTGTCGATCAATTATTAAGGGAGGTAGTACTACGGTCTACACTTTTTTTATGCAACAAGTCTACACTTCATTGAAAATATTAGTAAATATGGAGTAAAAGGTATTTATAAAAATATGACTAAAATTTGTGTGAGAATAATGTATGATCACTTAAGTGTAAAAATTAACCATACTTATTATGATTAAAGCTATATTTATATTCAGATGTCAAGTTTTTTCCAAAAAAAAAATCATTATTTTAGTGGTAAATTTATACTAAGGTGGTTTATATATAGGTCACGTTTTTTTATATAGGTCCCATGACATTTGCACCGCTGGAGTATAATGGAAGCCTCCCCACATTGATTTCACACCCATATTCCTGGACAAAGGTAAATGATCACTCCCACATGGAGTACGAAGTACTACATTTTCTGTGTTATACCAAAAATTATTATCTCCGTCCCAAAATAATTGTCCTGATTTAACCTTCACACAGATTAAGAAAGTGAAGTTGATTTCACACCGTAGCGACACTATTTGGCACCGTAGCAACACTGTTTGGCACTGTAGTGACACTGTTTGGCACTGTTTGACACTGTTTTGTATAGATTTGTTTACCAAATAAGGAAATGAGATAATTATTTCGGGACGGATCGAAAAGGAAAGCAGGACAATTATTTCGGGACGGAGGGAGTACATCATTTACGATCACACATTAGGGGTGTAGTAAAAATGAGCTACATTTTGGGGTACCTTTAACATTTGTGACAAAACTATTGCTCTTTCTTCGGACTAGACTTTGTTTGTTATTATTCGTGTAATTAACATAACTATTTTTGTTTCTAATTTTGAGTATCACTCTATTATCCAATTCAGATATAAGTCTTGCAATTCTACTGTTAGAAAGATGGACAAAAATGTAAAAAGCGAGTATCATTTATTGTCATTCTTTAATCTTTGTGCCGGTCAAAGTTTGCAATTCAATTCGGGACAGAAAGGGTAATTCATTTTATTCTCTCAATCGTAATTAGCAATGTCCAATCATAGAAAAGGACTAGGGAGCATTATTAGTTGTGCATTCAATTTCCATTATTGTTTTTGCGTAATTTGGTTGTACGTAGTAGTGTGGGTGGTGTGCACCTTTTTGACGGTGGACCACGTTTGATTTGGTTTGATTTGGTGTTAGGTGGCAAACATAGTTTTTCTGGACTTACCGGTAGGTACAGGATTCTCTTATGCAACCACGGAAACTGCTCATCAGTCAAATCCTTCTAAGGCTTGCCAACACGCACATGAATTTCTCCTAAAGGTCTAATTACATACATGTGCCTTTAAATTTCTACTTTCCTCATGTATAAAAAAATATTACCTCCCTCCCGGAATTATCTCCTTATTTGACTGGGCACGGGTTTTAAGATGGTAGAAAATGTGTGGTGGAGAGTTGTGCAGAGAAAGAGAAATGTGTAAGAATGATTGTCAATCACAAATTCTTTGCCAAAAAAAGAAAAAGGAGATATTTGGGACGGATCGAAAAGGAAAGAATGAAGATAATTCCGGGACGGAGGTAGTATATGAGGTGAAGAATTGTGCAGACAAAAGAAATATACTCTCTCTCCGTCCCCAAAAGATTGTCCTAATTTGACTTCACACATATTAGGGAAATGAATTTGCCGAAGGGTAAATTTTGTTGTACAGTTCACTGTTTAACACTGTTTTGACACTGTTTGAAACTATTTTGCACTGTTTGATGAAAAATTGTTTACCAAATAAGGAAGTTAAAGAAGTAGGACATTCATTCATTTAGGAACTTCCATTTAGAGAAAGTAGGACATTCTTTCGGAGATGGAGGGAGTATAAGAATGAGTAATGATGTCGTGAATCATAAACAATCATACTTGTTTTTGGACAGACGAAAATGAAAGGTTGAAATATAATTAGAGACGGGGGAGTAATATCTATAAACAATCATGCTCTTCTAACATGTTAAATTTTAAAATATTTATGATGATATCATGGCATTTTTGTTTTTAAAATTCACTTCATTTATCGATTTTATTAGATCAATGGTCACGATTAACTCTTATTTTCACCTACAAGTCAGTTTTATTTGATTCAAATGAGAATATGATCTAAATAAAGGGAGAAATGAGAATGAATCTGAAACGATGAATTTGAAAATTGTGCATCATCACAAACTCAAGGGTGCATGACATGCATGGAAAAATTCTGTGACATTTTTGTAAATAAAGTGAATATTTTATGATATTGCGAATCAATGATCCGCAAGGGGGATCTATGTACATGCTATGGTAGGCTGAAACACAGGGCAACTTAGAAATTTTTCAGTTTTTTTAGTGTAAATTTTTTCATTTTTCACATTTAGCTCATCTCACTACTATTTAAGCCTAGTATAATTCTTATTCAGCCGAGGACATCTCAGATTCCTCGATCCGTCCCTGTTGATCCAGGGCGTCCATTGTTTTTCATCATTCTCATTTTTCCTAGGAAAACCATTTTCATCCGGACTCTACATTTATGGGTATATATAATATATGGGTGGCATGGATATTATCTGTATATTGCATTTTATGGAAATCAATATTTGTGCAGTGGCTAAATGATCATCAAGAGTTTATTTCTAATCCGTTCTATGTTGCGGGTGACTCCTATTCAGGCCAACTTATTCCTATCATCGGTCAAATTATCTCACAAGGAAAGTGTCAACTCTACATTCTCATTCATTCATTCATTTATATGATAGCGATTAGAGTATAATAAGTTTAGCAGATGTAAAATTATACGTCAGTCCTATTATAGGAACCACAGTTCGAGTTTTTATCATTTTTAAAAAAGGACAATTAACCGAAAGGGTCTAAATTGACTTTAATCACCAGCTGACAGATAGCGATAGAGACTGATTCAAGTATTTGGAGTGGCCTTATGTGTTTTTACATAGTCGCCTCTCATCGCAATTGCAGAGATTCGAACCTGAGACTTATGAGTTACACCCTCTGGCGAATTTTTATCATTTTTAGGAATCGTGGGATGACTAGTTAATTAATTTAATAACAGTTCCACAGTTTCTATAATTATTGTAAAAAGATACTTCTCTTTGTGTCCCAATTTAATTTACAAAATTTCTTATTTTAATTGTCCCAAAATTATTTTTCATTTTCCTATTAAAAGTAAGAAAACAAGATATATATGTGTATCCACAGTTTATTTTTAGGATTTTCATTTATAAATCTAAATAAATAAAATATTAATGTCTATTTTGTTTTTTCTTGATTTTTGACACTGCATCATTTCATGACTTTAACTTATTATATTTGTTTTTATAATTATTTGGAGAAAAGTACATTTATATTCAAGTGATGTAACTACCTAAGATAATAGATAATGCATACTCCCTCCGTCCTAATTTACTTAGCAAAGATGGTAAATTTTGACCGATTAGTTAAACTAATATATTTATGCAAAATTTAATAATTTTATTCCTTTTATGATAGTATTTTTAACAAAGAACATTTTGATATCATTTTCATATTATTAATATTTTCTCTATATAAACATATAATCGGTCAAAGTTAGACTCCATTGACTCTATATAGTTAGATTACAATGCGCGGGTGGGGTGGATCTGCCTCGCACGGAGCGAGTCACGACCAACATCTAGTGACCCATGTGGGTCACGAGGTGGGTTGGATTGACTTAGCGATGTCGTGGGACATGTTTGTGTTTTACGCTATCCGGCCTATCCCGACTTATTGTCATTGTACTATAAGAACATCTCCAATGACTAATATAAAGGTCTTAGGAGCTGTTCTGTTCATATTATTGTGATTGTTTATTCTTATTTTATTCATATTAGATTAGAGAAAATCTTATTAAGAGCATCTCCAATGATTAACATAAAAGACTTAGGAGTTGCTCGGTTCGAGTGATGTATTGCGTTTGTCATATTTACAACGTTAAAATGTGCTTTAACCATATGATATTTAGAAATATTGACATATACGGAGTATATGTTTAAAATAAACATTATTTACAAAATGTGACCTAACGTAACTTGTAAATATAGTGACTATAGTAGCAACTTTGTCACAATAGCTTATGTTCAATTTTTACACTTAATAGACTATGAGACTATATTATGGTAACTATTAGTCATACTTTTGCAAATAAGTTTTATTTTCGTAATATTTTAAAAAAAACTGATATCTATCTCATGTTTTCATTTGTCATAAATTTAAAATTGCATGATTAAATAGTTATGCATTGGAACAATTATATTAACACAATTTGTCTTAAATAGGAGTAAAATTGTTTATGAATTCCAAAACAAGGCATCTATATTTTTATTTTCTAAATATGAGTAATTAATGTCATGTTTTGATATATTAGGTTTTAAACTTGACAATATTTTTCAAACTTAGCCGCAATTGTTCTATTTGTGAGCAAAAACACAATACTCCTATTTTGGAATTTAAAAACATTTTTATTTTGAGAATTTTTTCTAATGTTAATCATGGAAACTTTTGTTAAAGAGAAATGAATTTGATTTGGAAAGGTGCATTAAAGATAGCTTATTGGATGTGCTCTCACTACTTCATCATTTTGATAATGCAGGGAACGAATATGGAATTAGTCCCCAAATCAATATGAAGGTTAGCAATTGGGCTCTACATATCGCATGCGTATAAGAATACATCATAATAATCCCCCAAGCCAATTTATAACATTATGAACTTGTTTGATAATACTGAAATTGACTGAATCATTCAATCTGTCCAAATCAATTAAATGTGGGCTGAAATTGTTAAATTGGCTAAATGTGGTGAATTGTGAAAAGTAATTAAAATCTATTTTAATTACAATAAAATAAATAAAACTTTATACTCCATATGAAAAATAGTTAAAATGGTCCTCCTTAGTAATTTCAACCAGAAAAATAACTTCAACAATAGTAAAATACACATCAAACAAATCTTCACATATGAAACCAAATTTAAACAGGTTAGACCGAATCTAAAAACTTCAATCCAATGCAAAACATTCTAAGATATTTTCACTTGGACTAGTTTCAGTCTTAACTGGACCATATGAGATCAGACCATGGGCATATTTTACCAGACTTGAATATATCAGACCAGAACAAATAGACTTAGATAACACTCCCTTTGCCTCGCTAAAATGGTCTCATCTTTCTTTTTTTATCTTTCTACTAAGAGAGTCTCGCATTTATTAACACAAACCATACAAAATAGATGGAGACAATTTCTAATTAACCATTGAGCTATCTCATTATACAATAGGTATTAGGGAAATGTATAATTTAGAAGCAGTTGTAGTGTCTTTTAAAACTCTGTCATCTTTGAAACTTTAACCAACTAATATTTGTATTTGATTGATTTATTGATATGAAAATGTTTTTTTTTTCATTTATATAAAACATGCTCACCAATCTATAGCAAAATATAGAGCCCGTTTAGCAATACCCAAATCGACTGTATTGGTTGATTCTGTTGAAATTTATGAAGTTCTAGGTGAAGTGATTGGATTGACTGATTGTGCTGATTTATGAAAAGATTATATTTAAAATATATTTTATTAATAAAATAAAGAAAAAGTTATATGATGAAAAAACAGCTAAAATGATCTTCGACCAATACAACTAGAAAAGTAATTCAAACCTTACTTTTTCTTATCATTACACAATTCAACACACGCAATAAAAAATCACGTGTTTGATGAAAAAGTTGGCTGATAAGTCGAAAAACTAGATCACTAAACGGGTTCATAATGAGTGTTCTTTCATTTTTAATGCAGGGCTATATACTTGGTAATCCATTAACGTTTCCGCTAGAAGCTAATTACAAGTTCCCATTCGCACATGGAATGGGGCTTATTTCTGACGAGCTTTTCACGGTAAATAAGCTTTTATTTGATCTATGTACTATGAAAAAATTACCATATTTGTATACAATGACTGATCGGCTTACGCTTCATGTCTCAACAGTCACTGGAGAAGAATTGTGAGGGAGAATCATATTTAAACATAAACCCAGAAAACGTGAAGTGTTACAACAATTATGAAAGATTCAACCAGGTAAACTAAACAAATTATTTTAAGGAATTGCTTTAAATGAGAGTAAAAATAATGTGATATTTTTGTTATCTAAATAAGAGTAATTACTGACATGTTTATCCTCTTAATGTTTCTAAGTCATACATTGTTCTTACTTTGGGTGATTTCTTATTTAGTTGACTACCAAAGTAAATGAGGATCAGATCTTAGAGGCTCAATGCAAAGAAAGCAATTTGTTGATGCCCATCCAAAAGGAGTTTGGCCGATCAAGGTTACTCGTTGAGAAGTCTAAAAATATCATCGGTCTTGATGCACTTCCTTTGGTGAAATGTCGGGTACATGTCACACTATATGTATTACCAAAATTATGTACTATATTAAGAACATCTTCAATGCAACAATGTGTACGATGCACATGAGGCATGAGAGGTAGATACAAAACAACAAATCATTCACATTTCTCTCTTTCTTTACATTGTTTTCTATAATTTCGATAATTTTTTCACAATAACGTTAACCACAATGTCTACATCTAGACACCCGACTTGACATTATATTGTGGATAAAAAATTATCAAAAACATATAAAATCTTTCAAATAAGAAGATATATATATATATTACTCATTAATATTTATGTATCTCTCTCACAGCACATGTGCACCGTACACATTGTGACATTAGATATACTCTAAGTTGATTTTCTTTGTTTTGGTGTTAACATTGGACGATTATCTTTTAAAATTATATACCGATATTTATATTTAAAATTGATATTAAGGAATTAGCCCAAATAGGAATAAAACATACTAAAAATTCTTAACTAGGTGTGTGTTTTTATTCCCTATATAAGACTCAATATTAGTAATAATATACCCTTCTTATATTAATATAATAATTTAAAAATCTTAATTATTTTACTAAATTAGCTCATGCTAGCAATCGAAGGAATGGACTTCACCACCAACTTTAATATCTATACATAAAAGACCTTCATTAATGAAGAGATGTTCTCCAATACTGTTCCTACTGAAAAATGGTAAAGTTCATACTACAAAGCCCATAAGGGCAGATAAAGTAATGTGTTTAATGTAGTGTGCACATATCTTAAAAATAAATACTATCTCTATCCTAAATTAATAGTGGTGTTTTGTTTGGACCCGTGGAATAAGAAAATGAGATAAATACATAAAGTATTCTTTGCTTTAAGTACTGTAGCAGTGAAAAAGTAAATAAAAATGTAATGACAAAGTTGTAGGTTTAAGTAAAAGGGATAGTAAAGTATGAATGATAGGTATGATAGTCTGCCAAAAAGGAATCTAACCTTTATCATTGGACAATACAAAATGGAAATATGTAACAATTATTTCGGGATGGATGAAGTAGATAACAAGATGATGGTAGAGACACTACTAAGGAGATAGTATTGGGATCTTTTTGGTAAAATTTGATCTGGCTAAATTGGTTAAATTTACTCAAATGCTTAAATTGCGGTTGAAATCGCTGAATTACGAAAAATATTTAAAATATTTTTTTTTTGCTAAAAAAGAAAAAACTATACAAAAAGCCATAATAATTCTCTTTGGTAAATTTAAGCATAAAAGTAACTACATCTCTATTTATATGGATTATTACATAATGTACCGCGTGAAATAAAAAATTATGGTTTGATAACAAAGTAGATTAATAAGACATAAAGTTTAAAAGATTACCAAGTGGGCCCTTGTTGTTATTATTGTTAGTGTTGTTATTATTGTACCATAACTATAAATTGTGTTGCAAAGTTCAGTCCGATTGGTATATTTTGTCCAAGTATTGGGCTAATGACGAAAGCGTTAGAGATGCACTCCATGTAAGAAAGGTACGGCTCTCTTCACCTTAAACCAATGTCAATGTTCAAAAAACAAGGACTTCAGCTTACTTGTGTGTGTGTGTGGGCGTGTGTGTGTGTGGGCGTGTGTGTGTGTGGTATAAGTAGTATATTGGGGAATATAATTAAGGACTTCACCTTGCTTCACCTTCCTAAAGTGAGTGCTAAATTAGTAATTGTTTATTGGTCTATAAGTCTATTGTAAATTCTCATAATGATGATAATTTTTGTTTGATAATATATAGATTGAGAGCACGAAAGAAAAGTGTTGATTAATTAGCACTCTCTCCAGGAGAATCCAGTTCCTAGAACTCCTTAGTAATGTTAACATTTTTCCTTTTAGTTGAGCCATATAGAACATGGTTCACACTTTGTATTTCTTATGGATTGATGAAAATATGAGAAATATCAAATATGGATGGTGATTAATGAATGGCTGCAGGGTTCTCTTCAGGAGTGGAGTAGATGCAACAAAGATTTGGATTATGTATTCACAAGAGATGACGTGATTCCATATCATCTAAACCTTAGCATTAAAGGCTATAGATCACTTGTTTACAGGTTTGAATGAAACATGCTAGCTCATCCCTTTTAACAAAAATAATTTTGTAGTTAATATTTTTTCTATTTTTTTAAAATATCAATCATACACCCTGTTGTGATAGTTGACTATTTTTTCAACATTTTCATTTAGCGGAGATCATGACTTTGTCATACCCTTCCTTTCAACACAAGCATGGATACGATCTCTAAACTATTCTATTATTGATGAGTGGCGACCATGGATGGTTGATGACCAAATTGCAGGGTAAGACAATAATGCCTATCTTTCTCACGTGTCATTTCCGATTCTCATTTTTTGTTACGAAAATTTATCACTTTCTTTTTAAAATTCGTGATTCGGTTTATTTTTTCCTGCACAAACTTGAATGATACACTTTTTATTTCCTTATTTCACATGAAAGTTAAAACATGTTACCTCAAATGGATCAAGATGTTCAGTATCCATTTTCCTAATTCTACACGCACAAACATACACATATAATTCTATAATTAACTCCATATCAGTGTAATTAATGAACTGTTGATTTATGATGTGTACACTAATTGTTGAATAATTAATACAGGTACACAAGAAGCTATTCAAATAAAATGACATTTGCAACAGTAAAGGGAGGTGGCCATACTGCACCTGAGTATAAACCCAATGAGTGTCTCAAAATGTTGAGAAGGTGGCTTTCTTATAGATTACTTTGATTGTTGTAAAAATGATACTTCCGTCGTCCCAAATTGCAAGATACATTTACTATTCACTTGGTCAACATAAATCACTCTTAATCTTTTACTTTATATATCAAAAGTTTATGAAATTTGAATTATTTTTTGCAGGGTTTGTAGCGGTTTTAATGTAGTTTCTGAATATGTAAATTTTATTTTCTAAAACTAGTTTGAGTGTTGACAGGGATCAATTTACTTTCTCGTCAATCAAACATCGTAAACCGTAAAATGTCTTACAAATTGAGTCGGAAGGAGTATATGGTACATAATCATGTAACATATGAGACTCTATCGAGTACATTAAAGTATATCATCAAATAAAATCGATGTTTGGCCTAAATCCCAGCAAGATACAAAGTTGTCTTTCCCCCTTCTTTATTTGTTTTCTTCTATGGTGAAAGCTACTAAAGACCACTAGCTATAGCCGAAGCAAACAAAAGCTCCATAACAGGGAAGAGGAAACTTGTAGTTGATGAGAGCTTTGAATTTGAAGTACCTCAAGCCTGGTTGGAATCATCCCAAGATATTCCAACCACATCTCAAAAAAATAGGCTGGGGAAAAACACCCAAGTTATTAACTCAATTCCTGATCCATATTATTTGTATAACAACTGTCATATATGTGCTTTGTATATAATAATCCTAAAAGGTCGCAATATTTAAGTATGAAAATTATTGTTTTAGGAAATGTAATATAAATAAATAAGATAGGCTCACCTTGTTCAACAATTTCCTGTCTTCTAAACTTTTGACAACAAAATTTTATATCAAATGTTTAGTAAAAAACAAACAAGTTTCTTCTAATATTCGGTTTGGCTTCAACTAAAAATCCATTCAACCTAGTCTAATTAGATACACATACAATCATGAAATTTTATTAAATCTTATTTGATTAGTTTTTGGTCACCCTAGATTCTTGCACAATGTATAAATAGCGAGAAGTGATACTTTAGGTAAATATGGCGAAATAGTTAAGTAATTGATTTGTAATACATTCACCATATTTAACTATTTCACGGAATCTAGGGCAACCATGTATCTAATGGTTGCAATTTAATCATGTAACATATGAGACTCTATCGAGTACATTAAAGTATATCATCAAATAAAATCGATATAGCCTAGTTATTGGTATAATTACACATATTTTTGTGCAATTAATTCAGTGATATAGTTTGTTGGTGTTAATTCCCTCGATTCAAAAATCATATACAATTTTCTGGGAGCATTCAAATGGATTATATGGCGCAAGGAATTAAGAAAAAAGAAGAAGATGATACATGCAAAACTTAAATTCCGTGAATGAGGCTCCAGATTCTTGATCCACTACTTACAACACATTAAAATTTAGCCCTTATAATTCATTTTCATACTTATGATTTATTGATTTAATCACTCATCCACACACTTACTATAATGAAAGAGGTATGAATGCTCTCTAACAAATGCAAGAACCAACCCATCAAATTAAATGAAGTAATGAAAGGGTATTTATAATTGTAAAAGTTGGTTGAGGGTAGTTATGGGTTAGGGGTGGATCGATCACCAGTCTTGGACCAGCCCGGCCTGGTTGGCAGCGGTAATGAGATCGATCGAGAGACCGGTTTCCCGAGGATAGACCAGAACCGGTACCCCCAATTTGTATTACCTGGTCCGAGATTCCAAATATGTGACTGAAATCGGCCGGTTTCAGTCACGGTCAGGTCGATCAATAACGACTACTTTCTATTTTTTTCTATTGGCTGGCCACCCAATGGCTCTTTGGAGCCAACCAGCTCCCAAATGACTCTTTTGACCATTGGGGCTGGGGTGGGGGTGGGAGAACTATGAAAACCTCTTATTCTTCCCATTTTTCATACACTTTAATTATCTTAATATCATATCTTCCTCTACAAATCTTATATTATACACTCATACTCATCTCTTATATTCTTTTTTTATCTTTGTTATTGAGTCTTAACTCTTATAATGTTATGCACTCAAATAATTTTTTTTTCTCCAATTATCATGCTATTCAAATGTTATGCACTCAAATAATCTTTTTTACATGTTTACACTATTATTTGAAAGGTCAAGGACCAACTTTATTGTGAGGGGTTTCAATGTGAGAGTCGAGCCATTATAGAAACCAAAAGTTTTTTATATAGGAGTAAGAAACATGTTGGTCGGGTTGAGGCGCTTAGAACACTGTTGCACGCTCCCAAACACTTGTTGAGTGGATGTGGAGGCTATGAATTCCCCATCCAATGAGGCATTGGTCAGCCTCTACATGTTCTACTCGGGGTGGCCCATATACCGGTAGCTTGTGTACCCGGCCTATTCTGTCTATATCGTCTGGTTGGAACATATATGCCAAGCTTATGTCTTCGATCGGTGACAAACCCTTTTCAGTTCGTACTACTTTTGTCCCCTTAAGATTAAGACAAGATAGAGTTGTGCAATTTTTAAAAAAATCTAGAGTTTTGTTGTTGATAGATAAAATGTGAATAATGTAAGAATGATTTAAACCACACAAATATTATTTAATATGGTATGCGACAAATTTAGTGACACGGCCGAAAAAGGATAAATGAGACAATCATAGAGGACATAAGGAGTAACTGAGATGAAGGACTAAACTAGACTTTTGTCAAGTTTGTGATTGAGTTGACCATCCGTTGTTGCAATTTTGATTTTAGCAGTCCATTTATATTACAACTAAGAAGTATAACAATAAATACCCCCCCCCCCCCCCCCCCCCAAGTAAGTGTAAAAGACAATGTGAATTTCAAAATAAGAATACAGTATTTTTATTTATAAATAGGCATAATTAGTGGCATACATGGAAAAGACTTCAATCATGCACTAGTACTGTTATATTAGTATCTGATATTATCAAAATACGACAATATTAATTTAGGATGACCGTATCTAGATATTATCATATCTAGGGGGAACGTAGTACTCATATTTTAGAATTTCATGCATGTTACAACTTACAATGACTTTACTCATAATTTGGGTCATTTCTCATAATAATATTGTATATCATCGCTCTCTAGTACAAATAAATAATAATATTACATCAGATTTAATTTAATTTTAATTGTATCCTCATAAATGTTTTGTGTATTTTAAGTTATGTACTTAACACCATAAAATTACATTTTTGAAAATATATATGGTCATGGTATTACTATAATTTTTTATATAAAGTTTGGGGTATATACTATCGTATATTACATGTCCAAGTTTGGGGTACTTATCTCAAACTCCTTCAAAATTTGGGATATTTAAATTATTTTACATTAAAAAAAATTATGAACATAAAATACTAATTACAAACAATTTTTTTTTGGATTCCTATTTCTAACTAATTAATATGAGTACAATAAAAAACTAGTTAATATGAGCAAGTAATTGACAACCTCTTTTAAATTGAGAACTCATTTATAAATAATAACTCATTTAATCTCCACCTTTGATATATCAAATTAAGAGTTACAATATATAAAGGTGTCATTTTTGTAATAATTTTAAACATAATGACAAAAAATACATTCTTTGAATTTTGAATATTTATGCAAATGATCTCATGATCATCTCATCAACGATTGAATAAAATTAAAAGTTATGATTAAAAAGTCTAGTTGTAAGGAGTTTTAGTTTTGGTAAGGGTTTTCACTTTGATGTACAAAGTGTGACCGTGTGATGAAGATGACATTTTAAGTGTATAACTATATATATATATATATATATATATATATATATATATATATATATATATATATATATATATATATATATATATATATATATATATATATATATATATATATATATTACACTTAGGCATAGGTTGGTGATCGACTAGGAGCTTGACCAGAAGACTCTATTCCCGGGCTTGGTCGTTGATTTGTTTGTTTCCATCTTCTTTGTCCGTCGATTCAGTCCTGTTTTCAGTTATGCGAAAGTTTTGAGAGCTACAGCCAGCCCTAGGAAACCCTAGGCGGCTAACTGGTGGACAAATCTAATCTTCTAGCTTTCTCTTCTCCGTTTGGCACTGCTCTTCGATGATGATGACGTTCTCTGGACAATAACGACTCAAATGTTTTCTTATGTTATTGCTTATTATTATTATTTTTACCTTCTAGGGTTTTGCTTTTGGTCCACCTTATTCTATGACCGAGAGTTTTGTCCACTTCAGGTGAGCGTGGTTTTTGTTCTTCTCCTGGCAATGTCTAAAAACCGTGTGATGGGGTTATGCCGTTATGGGATTAGGCCGATCGAGGCCAACCAGAAAGAGTAACGGCCAACAATCAATGCGATATTAATTATATATTTAATTCCGTATTAATGTTGTAATTAATTGATCATTATTGTATTCGGCAGTTACCATGTGTAAACGCCTATAAAAGGCAAGTTCAATTCAAATAATAGACATGTTATTTCTAGCAACTAAATCTCCTAGCTACTTTCCATTCTCGTTCTTGTTTTCTTAATTCCTGCTTGAGTGTCGTATGTAGCTTTCCTAAAAGCCCACGAGCATCCTATTTTGGACCAACATTGGTGCTTTCATTGAGAGCCTCTATTGTCTCTCATATCGCTCGAGTAGGAACACAAAGGAAGATGGCCGGAGTTGTGTCCCGACGTGACCATGTCTCAGTCCACGCCGAGGAATCCATCCGGCCTAGCCGCCAGCGTGCCCCCGACAACCACAGACAAGGCAGGGGGGCAAGGTGACCTTCGGAACCGGTTGTCAAGCCACGGCGACCTGAGGGCGACGCTTAACCACATCCAAGGTGAGACCGTCGTCGTGTTCCGCGCATGGACCCGACTCGACTCAACGCTTGGGTGGAAGCCCTACAGGAGGCGACTCGAGTTCTGGGGGCCTTGGCTCAAGGTTTCCAGCAGATGGTGTCCGGAGGAAACGTGGATGAGCCTGCCCGTCAACAGACGCCTGCTATTGTGGAGGTGTCCTCCAGGCGGCGTGATGGGGGACGCTCTGGATCCGACCAGCACAGAAGGGAAGAAGTTTCTCAGCAGCTTAGTCGGTCCTATCGGCATGCGGGAAGGGGCGCCCAACAGGGGCACTCAATGCAGATGGAAGGAGGCGAGCCCTCTCGCCACTCTCACCGTGCGAGCAGTCGGACTGGCTCCGTGGAAAGGCAAAATGTGGGGGCCCGACCTCACGTGCACAGGCGACTTGGAGGCGCCGCTAGACATGCCGAACCCCGTGCTACAACTATCCAGGGGAACTCACCGCCGGCTGAGGTGGAAGATCTTCGACAACGCCTTGACGAGTTGAGAAGAAGGATCATCGGGGGGGAGCCCTACACGGCCGACCTCCGGATACCCGAGCCTTTCACCCAGGCGGTCATGGATGCGTCGTTGCCAAGGGGCTACAAGGCTTGCACCATCGAAACATACAAGGGCACTTCTGACCCCCAACATCATGTATCGCGATACCTTTCCTACATGGTGATGATGGGGTAAAGGACGCCATCCGATGTCGCGGTTTCTCTTCCACCTTGGATGGCCCGGCTCGTGAATGGTATGACTCTCTACCCGAAGGGAGTATCACGAATTTTCGTGAGTTGGCTCAGCGCTTTCTCTTGAGGTTCACGAGCTCCCGAGACGTCAAGAAGAACTTCAGCCACCTATTCGGCCTAAAACAAGGGAAGAAGGAATCATTGTCCACCTTCTTAGCGAGGTGGAGGACCGAGTCAGTCAAGGTTCAGGGCCTTGATGACAGGACCGGGGTGGCCATGCTCACAAATTCTATCCGGTCTGGCGAGCTTTACAAAGATTTCGTCAGAAGTCCCCCTACCTCATACGAGGAGGTGCTCGGTCGTGTTGTAACACCGCCCCCAAATATTTTTACTTTATCAAATCATGTATTGAACCCTGAGAAATGTATAAAAGCATTTTTACGTGATTGTAAATTTTTATCATTTCTTTTACGTGAATAGTAAAATTCACGTGGGGCCCACACCAGATGTGGGGCCGCCCGATATTATCGGGACAACAT